ACTATTAGTTAAATATCAGCAAAATGCGTTTTTGATCCGTGGTAAAGCATCCAATGGTAAAATATCTAACCATTAGTCAAAAAAGTTAACTACTCAGTATCGGAGGGTTAAAAAGATGGCCGCTGGTAATTTATATAGTAACAGCTGTTTGTCACAGAATAAACTATGATAAATACGTTTATTACTATCTAATGATGAATTTAAAATATTGAGATACTTTAATTAATGAGACGATGAAGAAGACGATAATATTATATGAGAATGTGTTAATGAGTGACCAAAAATATTTAGGCAATGTCATCCGCCATTAGAAACCTGGGATGATGTAGATTTTTGTCACTGTTACCCCCTATCGAAGGGAACAGTCTCTGGATTGTTACTGAAATTGGGAATGATCTTAAACTGCCAATGAACAAGAGTATATTATATAGACAGCAGCTCATACCAACCTATTTTGCTTCATTACTAACTACAGTACCGCAGCAGTATATAATTAAGTATATTACTAATTCATTATGTGTTTTATTGCCTATAATATTAACTTATAATTATTATAATTAAATAAAATACAAGAACAAGAGTATATATAGACAGCAGCTCATACAAACCTATTTTTCCTCATTACTAGCTACAGAACCGCAGCAGTATAACAATATCCTTTTTTGTTTTTTTCCCCTTTTTTTTTCCCTTTTTTTTTCTATAATTAAGTAACTCGTAATTCATTATGTATAGGAATAGAACATAATGAATTAAGTTAATATTATTTATATATTACTAATAATATTAACTTATAATTATTATAAGTACATACAAGTATGTACTTATACTAAAAACTACACTCACATTATTGGGACCTATGATATTCTTTAGGGCTTTTATTACATTTGTGAGTTAGCATCTACCTATTTATTACAAGAATTTATAAATAAAACATTTGACTTGATTAATAAACTGTTTAATTATAACTTAAATACAAACCATTTTTATTAAAAAACATTACAAAATTTACATGAAACCCTAAAGTAGCAATTAAATATTTTCTAATTGTTTCTTCTTGCATTTCTCCTCAATTTGATGCAACTCTTTTTCTGCTACATATATTTATTGTGCCTTTCTTCCATCTCTGCATCACTTTTTGTCACCTCCTCTATATGCAGTATGAATTTTTGGTGGGCCTCTCATTGGTGCAGCAAATGTTTTTGATGCTCTTCCTTAGCATAATTGAACAAACATCATCCTCTCTTATTTGTCTTTGTTTCAAAAACCCAATTCTTTTTATCCGTGTGGATCATAATCCGCTTCCCTTGTTTCCAAAGGGTTAAAAGATTTTTTCCTTTTGTTGTAGGACACAGCTATACAAGAATAAATATAAAAATGTGCCTACACCTTCATTAAATGTATATTAAATTTAACACTTCGGTTCTAGACCCATCTATTGAAAAGTCACAGAGATTTCAAGCTCATCTTTTGTAGATTGCTGCAGTGATCAGTTGTTTGCAGGTTACGACTGTGTAATCCTTAGAAGCATCACCATTTGGCAGTTTCTTTTTGCGAAGTTAGCAGTATGGTCCCTTTAACAAAACATAAATGTATTACTTTCTATTACGAAACACAAGATAAACCGGAATAAATAACACGAAAATATGTTTGTACTTACTTATTTGACCGTTGGCTGTTTGCGAACATCGTTATTTATATATTTAAGTATCGTAAAAAGTGTAAACCGTATTAAATCACAGAAACTTTATTTATATCGTGTTATTTAGATTAATTTGTCACTTCAAACTCTTCAAAGCGCAAATAACGAATGAAGATGGCAAAAATGGATTTCATTCACTCAATATGTCTAGTGTTGTCATACAAAATAAATGTTCCCCGCAAAAAGAACCACATTTTTTGGGATTCATTCTCATTGCACTGCAACAAATTGACAAATTGTTAAGTTTAACTATAGTTAAAAAAAAAACACTTTTCGATTTTACCAATGGTTATTCATTTAACTATAGTTATGTAACAATGGTAAAACCATTTTTTACTAGGATCAAAAAACTGGCCCTTAATCATCTTTAGATATCGACTTTCTATGTGTGCTGTTAACACTCGCTCGAAAAAACTGGCCTTATATCCAAAACCTTCACGGCGTTTGTCAGGGACAGCATGCTGATAACCTACTTGCCTATTATGAAAAAAACAAAGAAATCTGAGGCCCAGACCATAAAAGCTTTATTAGCTGCGGTTAAACCACCAATAGATATTTCTTATATATTTATTGTAATGTACATATTTTCATTTGAAGGAAAACATGAGGATAAGGATGTTTTATTAGACTAGGCTAAAAATCTATGACTCTAAATCTATGAAATGGCTGATCTCATCCTTGCCTGTAAAGTATCAAAAATAAATAATAAAAACGCATTCAAAAATGTGCACGCTCCATATAGAGTTGTACTGAATGAACATTTACTCATCATTGACATTATAAATATGCTGTAATAATTTTTAAAATCACTACTGATTTCTTGGTTCGCACTTCATTGTGGTCCTATGATAATGATGCATCGAGCCGACATTTGTTTATCCAATAGTTTTAATTAGTTGAATAAGAGGTCAACCCTCCGTACATTATTTTTATATTATATAGTATCGCCGAATATATAAGCCCTTTCTCTAACATATTGAAACAGCTTGATCCTTTTTATGAGATTTCTTTGTCTTCAACAAACCTTTGTCATTCAAAATATACCCGTAAATGATCTGTAATATCAATACATATGTAAATTTAAATCTTTTGTCTGATAACGGTGATGCACTTATGGGCATGATGCATTCTATTGCACTTAAATATATTGTTGCATGAAGTAACTCTGCACTTGATAAGCTTCAAAAATTACTGATATTTTTTATCTATTAGCAATTAATTCTTCCCATATCTAGCAAGTGGTGGAGAATAAAGAAAAGACGTACGATAATTAACACAAGCCAAGAATTTTTTTTCAAACATTTTGCGAGTTAATATTTTTACAAAAAGCTATAACAATTATTATTGATATCGTGACAATTTTATACAGACTTAGCACGGTGTGGATGAAATAATTGCTTAATGAGTGTTCGCGCCATTTATATTAATATTCATAGATTATAGAGATTAATTTTAGGACAGGGTTTATCATAATAATATATAATAATAATAATTTTGAAGATTATCTTTATTTTCTGTTTCGTATTTTTTATTGGTAAATTCCTATTTTTTTTTAATCTGTAGTTTGGAGAGGACCAAAAAGGATACAAATTTTAATTTAATTCCCCCGCTTTGTGTGTTAAGTTTCATGAGAAATTTGCAAGTAAATGTAAAATGTTGTTTGGACAAGTTTTTTATTAATTCATTATTCATGTTTCATATCTAGTTGAGGTGGGAAACTTGTTTGGCCATATCATAAAACTAGCAGCAAAAACGTTAATATGCATTTTTATTTTTATTACAGGGTTATAGTTTTAGAGACTTCAAATTTATTTCTTTTTCTAATTTTCTTACTAACTACTGGCAATTTGATTTTTTGCGAAGAGACATCTAATTTTGTCCCAACTCAAACGGCGGAATTAGAAATAGAAAAACAGTGTATTCTACATTTAGCATGCTATAAACAGAGACAGCAAGAGGTTTAAGTTATTTCATGGCAATAAATACATTATTTTCATTAGGAAATTTACAAATTATTTGTAAATTGGTCATTGACTTTGTTACGCTCTTATCTTTGTTAAATGACTGAAATAAATGATCAGAATACATTCACATGATTACAGTATTTAGTAGTTTTCAATAGGTAGATTACTTTTTCGCCCTTACTGTCGATTTTACTGAGAATTGCTTTATCTCAGGACATTTTATCACCTTTCTATTGGTTTTGATTTATTTGTATGGCTCATTGTATATTGATAGATGTTATTACAATTACGGCACTCGCTATCACTAGTACGTCCTACGTCAAATATTTGTAAGATACATAAAAAAAAATATGTAAACCTTAAATACTTTTTCTAATTTGTAGAACTCCTGATTCTCAAAGCTAGGAACGGAGCTAGATTTCATTATCATACGGCGTCACTATTTTATCTCAAGCAATTTTTTCTTATATGTATTATTACACATCTAGCTAGCTATTAATAAGACCTGTTTGGCCCTTTTAACCGGAATCTCATTGTTTACTATACAAAATATGGAAATGGAATATTTTTTCACAAACGCATTCTAACCCATCGTTTCGCATTAGCCTATATAGCTAACAAATCATTTTGTCAAGTTGCCTTTTCAACTGTTATTTATAACCCCCTAAAGATTGACGATATTCTACGTTTTCGTAAACATATTTATATTGTCTACAAAGAATGAGAAAGTTGTGCTCTAGTGAACAACCTCTGACCAGAGATAAAATTATAAGCACGCGAACATTAACTTTGTTATGACAACATCTATCAATTAGGACGCTTCCCTATATTTGCGAGACAAAACAATGATTCGTCATAGTTAATGTAAATGATATATTGGCGTTTAATTAAACGACTAACTCCGATTATAAAAGGACAATTTTGTTATTGCGACGGTAAAAAAAAAAAAAAGCAATATTATTCAAAAGCTTCTTTACCGTAGCCTTTTTTAAAGATGAAAATACGATTAGGCACCCCCCGCAACGGTTGTGAGACAGCAACAGGTGTCTGCTGCGATAGTCGACTGGGGTCACTAAACCAAGGTGACAGGAGACAGGCGAACCCCCCTATTCTTGCTCTCTTTGTCTCTATTTCATTCTGCAGACATCTTCTGTAGCATCAAGAATGAAATCATCTTCCAAACTGGCTCTTTACCATAGCCTAAGCACTTCTACATTACACTGTTCCTCAATGGAAATACATGCGTAACGATATAAATTTTTGTGAGTTTTTGAAAATGGTTGTATTTTGTACTTTATTTTACAGTATTTAATGAAATAATAACATTTTTTTTTCAGTTGTGAAACAGAGGCTTCAGATGTTGAATTCGCCGTACCGTGGCGTTTGGGAGTGCGCCAGACATGTGTACAGGGCTGAAGGTTTGCGAGCGTTCTACCGCTCGTATGGAACACAGGTCACCATGAACGTACCATTTCAGGTAAGCTTCAAATGGTGCTAAGCATTCGCTAGTAAATAGGGATGTAGCAGCTTTACGACTTGGGTGAGTCTATATATAGCTGGAGCTCGTCTAGTATTCGGTTAAGTAGGGTAAAAATAACTTATGTCCTTTAATATAAACCATAGTCAAGTTTCATGTATTTTCGTATGATAAATGATCTTTGTATAGACTATAGACCGAAACAAAGATATCACTACTTTTAAATCTATGTTTTCATTAATCTTGCAGGCTGTACATTTCGTAACATACGAGTGGTGTCAATCCCGAATGAACCCTACGCGTGGGTACGAGCCCCGAGCCCATCTAACGGCGGGCGCGTGCGCAGGCGCACTCGCTGCAGCCACCACTACGCCGCTCGATGTTTGCAAGACACTGCTTAACACGCAGGTAAAACGTGTGATTTACTTTACAAAGCTGAAGATAGAAAGATTTTTGTTTTACATAAATGAGGGTATATAAAATGCAAGTAAAAAACCGCGCGGCACAGCTAGTATAATTATGAGTTGTAACTAAATCTACCTACAAGAGGATAAAGCCGAACAATTGTGGTAGTAGCGTTGTCTTGGCATGTAGTATATACTATATTTGTATCGTATACATTGATGTGTGTACTGAAGTCTTCCCTGAGTTTGTGGAAGTGTATACTTACGCTAATATCTCAGTTAAAACATATGTATGAAAAATATGTATATATAAAGTTATTTTCATACATATATTTTGACACAAAATACTAAGAATTGGTGCACGTACATGGAAAATGAATGTGTTAAGTATAATTATAAATAACTAATAAAATCGACATACAAACTAGTTGTATAAAACTATACACGTACGTTTTTATAAACTTGAAATTAAATTTATAAATGAAACGCAAAAATATCAAAATGCACCTTTTTGTATATTTATTCTCGTTAAACTAGTCTTGCTAGGTGAGATAGGCAGACTAAAAGCTTTTAGCCATTTGAATTGCAAATTATTCAACTCGTTAATATTTTTTTTAGGAAATTATATATCCTGATTTTCGAAGTCAGGATATTTAGATTTCTAGTGGTGATGCAATATACCTACATATGTTAAAATGATACACTACTAACGCGAACTAAATACACGTTTATATCCGGTTGCAAAAGTTTTTTATGATGTGTTGTGCTTAGTGATAGACTCAGGGATATAGAATTACATATTTATAGAGCGGTTGGCCTATTAGCTATTATGAATTTTGCGGGGTTTAAACGCATGGTGCGTTTAAAAATGCAACTATGGATATTTCTTTCTATGAAAACAAATAATTAACTTGTGACGTGACGGTAAACATCTTGTGGAAACCTACTAATCTAAGAACTATATGTGTGTCAAAAAGCCTATTAAATAATTAGAGACATATTTTTACATATACTTTTAAATGTGATATTTCAGGAGCGTGGCGCAGAGGGATTAGTAGGCGCCGCGGGTCTGGTTATGCGAACCTCAGGGCCGCGAGGGTTCTTTAAAGGCGTGGCCGCGCGAATCTTATACCAGATGCCGGCTGCTGCCATCTGTTGGCTGACTTATGAGACATTGAAACACGCCCTCAATACGGTATGTACTTATAAATTGATGTTTGCAAAAAAAACCTAAGGAAATTTACGTTCATAGAACGTTCCTTAGGTCGATTTCAATAAATTAAATGTCATCATCCTTAATCTCTGTAATTAACTAAATGTTTGTTTAACAACAACTTTTTTTATTTTAAATGGTTGAAATTATTATTTGGTATAAATTCGCTGAAATACTGTCGAATATTGTTCTATTGTTATATATGTTCGAGATGTCCTATTTCTATGCCGTAGTTTAAATTTAAATCTAAGCTCATTTAAATAAAAACGATGTTTTTATTAAATAAGGTTTATCGCCGCGAATATTTTTAAATATTCTATTATTCCAACAGTGATTTCCCCACAGGTGGAGTTAACCGAGGAGTCAACTACAAATACAGCAGGTTCGAGTCTCGCGTGTGCAACTTTACGAATAGCGGCCGCCGAAGTGCCAGCCACTACACTCACGCGCACATAACACACTAACAACCTCCTCTCGTACAAAACTAACTAACGGATGCCCGTATGTTAGATCGTATTAGGTTAGGCGCTTCCAAACGATATTTTCAATTAAAATATCTTATTATTTACAAAATAAAAATATTGTTTTAAAAATAAATGTAATGTGTATGATACATATTTGTAAAAACGATATATATGGATTTAAAGTATTTTTGTTTGAAATAATATCGTGAAAAATATTCTTCCTTCATCCATTAATATTTATTTAAACAATTGTCTCTTACTAATATTATATATGTAAATCGCTCTACAGAACAGTATAAAAATAACTGCATAATTCTTTACATTTTCAAAATTTCATTACAATACTCATTACAGTCCTTTAAAACAACTCTAGTTAGTCTTGTCATATCATATTTAGCATTGTCGAAAGGTGTCTTAAAAATACACTCACTTGCCGGAATTAGTTAAAATTCATATTGTAGTTGAATTCAGGTAATGGATTAAATAATGTTCCATAGATATTCTGAACAGATAAACAGTTCATTGCCATTTCACAACACTATATTCATAACAGTCCTTCTGAAAAAATAAAATAAGTAGTCTGAAAAAAAATGATATTTCATATGAAACTTGACAATTTGCAAAAAATGACAGTTGACATTTGATTGATTGCTAGTCTGTCGAAATAAGTACATACAATCGAATAGGTTCAATGAATCGTCGAATATCCCAGTGATTTTATTCGATTTTTGGGATGAGGGGAGGGAGTTGTTGTTGTTATGTTTTGTTGTTTACAGAGTATATATAATCGAGTAAAAATATTTTTGTGTTGTATTTTAGTATGTTTGTATACACGCTTTGTGGGTCTCTTGTGATTTTTAAGGATTCTTGAAATATTCGGCACGTTTCTTATCAATAATTTATTGGTTTTTGCCATGGTCTAACCAATGCAAAGTAGATTTTTCATGTCGGATAACTAACGTTTGTCCTTAATTTCTCAGGCCTTAGCACCAACTTTGTTTTCGTATTCGTATTTATGATTTGAGATTTTGACAGCTCGAACTTTCTATACAATTCTTTATTATATATAAATTATGGTTTACATATTCTATGAACGGTGCAAATCCGGGCTTCTGTTTAGTTCCAAATATTCCCACGTAGCGCTTGCCAAATTTCCGATACAAAAATTAATTACTTTTCTATTACGATAGCTACACGACTTACTAAGGGCTGGTATGTCCAAAACCAATGAAATTGGTCGACCAAACTCTGAAACTAAATCCCGGGTTGTTATATTTAACTAACGAAGTATTGTATCCGTAAGTTACATAAGATGTACACAGGCGTGTATTTGTATGATATTGTATGTGTGAATTAGAATTTAGCTGTGATGTTACGAATAAATTAATTAAGTCATTATTAATAGTTTGGATATTAAGTATTACTTGCCGTACACACGATACAATAAAAGCTATCTTTATTGTATGGTTTGTACGGTTTTGTTTTTAATCTCGTATGAGTTTTTTTAATAAATTTCTGTTAATGTTTCATATTTTACAATAAATTCGTTTATTGTTTGACGTTAAGTGTAACGCTTTTTTAAATCCCTTAAGGCATGCGTACCAACAATATTTAATTATAAAATGAATAAGAAAGACTTTTATTCGAATCTAAATTAAAACAGATATCAGCAAATATCAATCCCTACAACGATAGTCAAATAGGTTTTTGTTGGTTCTCGTTTTTATAATTATTTTTTTTATTCAAAATTATACCATTCACGCGGTATCTCATTTCAAAAACCGCGTTTGGTCAAATGGCCTCTAAATATGATATTATAATTAATTACTAAATTAAGCGCGTAGTATTGGTTACCGTAATGTAAATAAAATTGAAATCACGTTTTAGTTGGCTTTAGAATCGACACTAACAATAAATAGATGTACAAAATGTATATTTGTAAAAATCTACAGTTTCAGCTTGGTATAGTAGGCTGTGATTTCTGATTCGGATTATTTGGGACTTGTAAATATTTTACTTACGCACAGCGTATTGAACCGAATGTGCAGATAAAATGTGCGTTTTGTTCAATTGTGGCTTGGATTGTAGTTTAACCGTGACTTGTTTGGAAATTTTGACGATAGTTCAAGCCTATGATCGTTTCTCTTTGTCGTACTAAATTGTTACTGATTTGAATGTAATAATTTTGTTTTAATATTGCCCTGGGAAAGGCTGGTTTCCACCGATTTGCAAATGAACGTGGACACTGGCTTTAGATGGATAGATTCATAGATAAGAAGATTGAGAAATCCATATTGGTCTAGATTACACCCTTTCTGTTTGTGAAATAAGTTTGTTGACAATAGCGTATTTATAACAAAATTGTGAATTTTTTGACCATATTTTTGAAACGGCTGGATAACTGAATCTATTCCTTATCTATGGTTAGGTTAGTGATCCTTTGGGATCGAAAACAGAGGTGCTATGATTGGAGAGCGATTGTTACTGAAATATAAAACTTATAGGTAGAGGAATAAAAGACAATGGCCATACTACAACCGCCTACGCAGCAGGTTTTTTATCAGTTAATATTATTTAATTAAATTATTTCATGAAAAACTAAAATATGTTGCTAGTAGCAATCGCTCTGGTGTGAAACTATGTGTAAATTATGGCTTATGAGTGTCGAAGTCAAATTGCATTAAAAGCCGGAGTGAACCATGTTCTATGAAATGAGATAAAATAAACAGTTGGACAATAAAAGACATTTTCATTAACACCCTTTTTACCAGTACCCTGGCATCACACTAACAAAAATTGCAGACAACCTTCACTACAATCACGTTTGGAACCCACAATGTTGACTCTCCTGTCAACATTGAAAATTATCTTGATAAATTACACGAATCTCGCTAGATTCGAAATTAAAAATAATCTAATTAACAAAAAATCTCGGTCGGCTCAATTTATGAAATCGTAGGTACATTTAAAATTTAGTTTTACATGTAACTTTCAGTAGTGTAACATTACGTAGAAGCACGTATAGGCTCGTTTACATCTTCAACATCATAAAAAAACAGACTTAAGGTAGCATTCGGTTGTTAGCTGCATCGACCATTCGACTACCCAATTCCGGTCACATATCGGACCCATAGCTTTCCGATGTCAGCGACTGCAAGATCCACTCTTTCTGTAGCATTTATTTTGTGAGATCTAGATAGTTTGACTACCTCAAGACTCCGTAGATCGGGTGATTATATTATAAAAGAAGGTTTGGAAATTGGAATAAAAATACGTCTCTTCTTAGCTGTGTGCGAATTTATTATAATTAGACAGGTCGCTAAAGGTGGGAACTGACCAACGTTACGAGGTGTAATGTAACACGTTACACAGCGAGCATACGTGCAGTCAGTACGGCGTGTTACGGGGAAACCAGCGAGCAACGAGCCGCTCGTTGCTCGCTTTGAGTGCTCCACCCGGCTGTCGGTTTTTTGGCGAATCCTTTGACTGTTACGCGGTTCAGTAATTACGCTTCGCACGTCGCGAGTGATCATGATTATGATTTTCTATAAATTGTGTCTTTTTTAAGTACTTTTGGTCCAATTAAATTCAAAAGTTCTTCAAAATCGAGACCTGCGTACAAAGTTTTTATACTGTCCAGTAATCATTTGGTTTTTAATATTGCAATCAATAACAAACCACCTCATACGCCTGTGTTTTTAAATAAGTTTTATGTCCAGTAACATTTTTTCTTCTTCTTAATTTGGATGAAACAATAATTAAATAGAATGAAAGATATCAACATTATCACTATCACATCTCGTGAACACTGGCGGCGAAAGTGGAGCACAGAGTTTTGACGAGCATGTTACGCCGATTTTAGAACACAGCGTAACATGCTCGATTCGTAACACGCTCGATGCGAATGCTACATTACACCTCGTAACTTGGGTCAGTTCCCACCTTAAGATTTAATGGTTACATGGAAGAGATCGCTCGAAAGATATAAGGCCGCCACTTGCCCTCCTTTTCATTTAATTATGTCAAATGTAACTGTATGCTACGTTAATGAAGAAATTAACTGTATAGCTTTATTAATAAATAGGTGTAGTTTGAATGTGAGATACCCATACGCTCCTCCCTCTCAATTCGTTAATACAATCGTTACAGTATAAACTTCAGTTACCTACTGGCTTGCCTTTTATTAATGTATGTGATTACCTGATCTATCCCCTATGCAAATAAATGAGTTGCGCTAGCTGTAAATTTATAAAATATGATTTATAGGTACATGATCGAAAAAAAAAAATCTAACGTTGAAGTCGGGGTAAATAGACAATAAACGTTCTTTTCTTTGGATTCCTTATACAAAAATACGAGGAACAGAAACTAAGACAACGCTTTCGCACTATTTTGACGAATATCGTTTAACTTGAAGAAAATGGTACTAGAATTAAGATTTTAAGTGTGCTAGCTTCTGTGGTTTAAGTCGCATTATCCCATTAGTTTGTTATTTCAATGACTATTTGTTAAAATTGTAATGGATTACTACTTTAGTAAACACGATGAAAAGAATTCCGAATTCTTTGCTTACTTTCATGTTCAGTTGAGTAATTAAACCGAAACACAGACATTAATTAAACTATAGTGTTATTAATTCAAAAATATATTTTATCTGGAAGGTATCAATAAAACAACACATGCTTGGAAATGCTATTTTATTACTTTAAAAAGCATAGTCTTTACATATTCACTGATCCACATACACCAAATAGCTGACAGGGTGTGATGTTCTCTTACATCGAAATTTTGATATTTAATACGGAGTTATTTTAGAAACATTCTTTTACTTTTAATTATGTTTAGAATTTCACAAAAACATGCGGTCTAAATGTGCTTTTCTAAAATAACCCCCAAAAGAACAGCCACAAGCCTAAGATATTAATTTAGAGAAGGTTATAATTACGATACGATTTTCTACTTTTCCCTCAAGCCATTAAATAATTCTGATTATAAATTACCTATCAGACATCCGTTTTCTAAATATTTGTTTATTCAGAGAGACACTATAATGTGATAATGCATTAAAATGGTAACGAATTAGGCATTTCAAATTGTATGTAATCTATCTATACTTATGAATATCTTAAATTACAATATAACGCACAAGCCATATGAAAAATACTAAGTTTTCTTACCACACATTTATATTGCAACCGAATTTGGCTAAAATTAAATTAAAAACAATGAAGTAATTACACGGAACCACGCGCACACGAAAGCATAGGAACGAATTCACGACCCTTAACGCACACATTCATAAAATGCGTTCACCCTGTATCGAATTGTGCACACTCACACTACGGCGGCAATTGCAGTAGTGTGCGTTAAGGGTTAGGGCTGCGTTTGATGAAAATTTTTATTTAATCATCAAATAAAGTTAGGCATTAAAATATCTATCTGATGTTGATTAGAGTTGTTTGCCAATTATAATATTAATTATTTGATTGCTGTTTAAAAAAATATGCAACAGATGTTTTTTTTTTATTTCGCCATCATCAAACTGGCCCCACTCACTCAGATTAAACGCTAAAAGGTAATAGCAGCTGAACTAGTGTGGCGAAAGCCGCCTATTTACATAATCTGACAATTGACATGTCACGAAACTACACACTTGAATACAATCCCACTGAACCTATACCAAATTATTTCTTACATATATAATAATATATTATCTATATATTTGGTTCTCACTAAAGTAAACGCTCGCACTGTACTACATTCATACAAGGCATCGATGTATTATAAAATATGTTACTACGTAACCTGACATCAGACGAAGGCTTAAACCAGCCACTTCAATACGTTTTTTGGTAGAATTAAAAAAAAATTTGGAAAATAAGATGTAGTATGTATGTTGCTTGTCCAAAGCGATTTAATGTTGCTATAAATTATTATAATAATTCTACACGTGGTATTTATTATCTAGCAACCTTCTAAAGACCATTTCTGTGGCATGCCCTTTTTGCGTTAGAGATTGTGGGATTTACTTGACAGAAAAAATAATGACACAAGACGTCATATTCAAATAGTTTTCCTTAAGTCGTTCACCTCAAATGGATGAAAATAATGAAACGATATGGCAATACTTAGAAGTTCTGTCACTGAATCTTTTTTATATATTGAAGTGGCAAAGTTAAATCTGTCGATTTTTTAGTTCCATGAACCGAGATAAATATCGAAGATCACTCAAACATCACGCGTTATTATGTGAATATTAATATCAATATATTACTATCGTAAAACTATTATAAATAGAACCTCGCTAAGTCAGCTTATAAAACCTAAGGATAAAATTATGCAAACAAAATAAAAGTCATCACAAACATTTGTGACGAGACGAAGATAAAATAAATAGATTTAAAATAAGATGCGGCTAACTTTTATGCTGCAATTGTAAAAAGGTTTTTTTATAAAAAATTAAGCTTTGCCAAAGTGCTTCAGTAATGTGATAAAACTCAAAATTTATCATTATTTATTTGTTTGTATCATCATTGGAAACTGTTTAGTGGCTAGTTAGCTGTAAGATTGTCGTTTAAATCGCATTACTGAAGTTACATAATCTGACAAGCTGTATATTTTGACATTTGTCAGAGAACGACAGAAATTAGAAGAGACGTGCGCGTCGCTTCAGCTCGTTTCGACGCCATTGCGGTAGACGATAGAATTCAGCGCGAGAGAACTGAAGGATCGCTTCAAACTCTGCGTCCGATAGATGTCGCTGTAAATTATAAATTCATAAATAACTATTTAAATTGTAAGTTGAAGAAGAAGATGAATATTTCTTGCTTTATAAGTAGTTAATATAAAAGCTGTCATGTAGGAGAGTATCACAATTAAAGCAAATTCATAACACCGGAATTTAACGAATTCTATTATCACTATTTTATATTTAAAATTATGCAACCGGCCTAACGTTTCGCATACTTCAAATCATTGTTCAGAGTAAGGTCTTAATGTCATTGCAGTAACGACCGACATACATAGGCGATCCCTCTTTTATCATATTATAATTGGTTCGCAGCATATTTCTAAATACTTTTTGCTAGAAACTCCACGATTTACTATTCGGGAGTGTATTTTTTCAAACATGTACCCTTGTCATGTTAAAAATTACCTCTAAGTTAAGCCTATCGACGTCAGGCGGCAGACGGTAGTTGGTGATCAGCAATAGGTGGTACGGGTAGAGTTTTGCCGGTTCGTGCACGAGATGCGAGGTCGCCATGTTGGGCAGAGAGCGTCTCACGGACCCGCCCCTTACTCCGGCCGCGCCCACAACGCTGCCCGCACCTGTTACTCCACGTACTAGTATACCGCCCTCTGTTGTCTGTTAAAATAAAGGTATACATTATATCTTCTAGTTTTAAGTATTTCTATTTGATATCTTTGCACCCTTATTTGTATACATAAAATTTAAATGCGTAGTTAAGTTACTCACCACAGCACTTCTATCCACATCGGTGATGGAGCCGGCAGAAACTGAAATTAAAATCATGTCTTTATTTTACGAATTTAATGCGTTTTAAATATTTTATCGTGTTTAAAATATACGGAAATTGACTACTAGAAACCAAAATATAAGCGTTAATAATTTTTAGTTCTAAAGAAGAAAAATACCTTATCTTATTTAATATAATAGTCGATATTGATAATTCATTGATTTATTGAAGACTTCATCTACTAAATATTCTTTTTTTTTATTCGAATTTCAGGAATTTCCAATCACATTTTGGTTTAAATAAAAAAATAAAAATCCTGGAAAGCATGATGAGAGGGTTAGTAAGCCTGCGCCGCACTTATTTTAATAGGATTCGAGCAGTGCCTATTGAAGCATCAACAATTTATGCAAACTACAAAATCTCAAAAAGAAAATATAATATAAAAATTAATCATATTATCTTTGATCTTATTTTTTTATTTTGATCGCCCAATATGCTCTATTAACCAACTTCTACTGTGTAGAATTCTTAAAAACATAGTATAGCGCCTATATTTATTCTAAAACTCAGAAATCTGTTTCATAGTAAAAAGAAATAAAATAATATTTTGTCTCCTTAATAGATATACTCAAAAATAGAATAAGCTGCAAAAAGAATACCAACAAATATAAACAAAATTCATATTAAAAAGGGGTTTAAATTGTCATTCAAAACGATACTTCAGGCCTAATTGGTATAACAATCCAATATTGATGCAACATGATGGTATAAGCTGTGCTTCGTAAGCGAATGAAGGGTAACTCGAAATATGAAAAGCGAGGCGCACGCGTCACTTACTGCATAGATCCGTCCGCACTATGCGTGCAAAAACGATTCCATTACTAAACACATTTTATCCAAAAAGGCTCTTTTGAGATTTATCTTTTACTATCTATATTTAGTATGTTTTGAAGAAATTGTAGGTTTGTAGGTTACCTCTTAGTATTATCTAATATATAAAATTCTCGTGTCGCGGTGTTTGTAGTTAAACTCCTCCGAAACGGCTTGACCGATTCTCATGAAATTTTGTGTGCATATTGGGTATGTCTGAGAATCGGACAACATCTATTTTTCATCCCCCTAAATGTTAAGGGTAGTCCGCCTCTAAATTATTATTTTTTAAATATAGATTTTAAAAAAATATTTTTTCTGATACATACCTACAACCCCTAATTTTCATCCCTCTACGATCAACCTCTATTTTTTATTATAAATGATATACATGGCAAAACGACGTTTGCCCGGTCAGCTAGTAACTAATAAAATTATAGCTAGAGTCAGAAATCTATTGACTTTATGACCGTCATAGGAGGGAATACGTACTGTCTGATTTGCCGCTGCTGAAATCAGTGCTGTGAGTCTTATCGCCTAAGCCGCTGAATGTGAAGTCACCCTGAAATTCGAAAACAATATAGTAGTTCATATCTGATCCCAAATATACACAACCAGACTTTTCAACCTGCCAAATATAGTGAATGTTTTTTTTGTCCTCCAAAACGAATGTCTGCCCGAGAGTTGAACATAATGAACGCTTGAAATTAGAACATGAAACACGATAATTGAATGATAAGTGAAACTGAATTTTATAGTATGACTTTGTTTTACATTCAAATGTTTCAGATTTAAAAATACTTACCTGAAAGTTTATACGAGGAAGAGCTAGATCTTACCTTAATATTTTTTAAACCACTTCGCCAATGTGAATGATTTAAATAAATACTGCAACTGCAAGGTTTGAACTGTTTCGAGAATTACTTACAAATGTGAAGGGCTGCTTGTCGCGTTATACAATTTTGGCAACATAGCTTATACTTACAGCGGTACTAGAAGAGAAGGTGTGCGACCTGGCGGAGAGACCGTACCCGGGCCGCGGTGCCGAACGCAGAGACGATACAACTGCAACACTAGCCGCTGTCACACTCGCTCGGTATATGACTTACATATCTACTTGTTAGTAGTTAGTTAGAGCGTCAAATAATGTTCTCATTTTTCATGAGTCTTAAAGTCGACCGAACCCAGGACAGAGTAATACTTACTTAAACGTAATTAGTTAGTCATTTATAGTCATGAATGAATCGTCAATAGTCCCAGACTAGTACTTAGTCTTGGTTAGTGCGTAGTAATTCTTGTATAACTCACATTGCAGGGCGACATCCCGGCGGGCAGCGTGCTCGCGCGCGTCCCCGACCCGCCGCGTGCACCGAACACTACCGTACAACACACACATGCACACATTGTACGCACACTGTATACGTTTCACACTCGTCTACAATACTAACTATGACGTTAACTGCTTTGTGAATTAAGGAACTAAATTAATTTATTGTTCAAAGTTATAATATTATAAGTCTAAACAGTCATAATGTGTATTGTAGATGGCGCGTCAATTTCTTATTTAACAAGCTATTGAAGATTTCTTTTCAAAATAATCAATTAGGTTCCCAATATAATAATACATCTTACTATAATTATGTTAAATTAAAATTTCCAAGTAAGAATAGTGAATTAAAAAGAAATCTTTTTTCAGAATTATAATCTACGTGATAAAATCACTATCAGGGCCTGTTATGTTGACGTAATGCCTAATAGTAAGCAGTTATTAAAGTAATTAAAATTAAATTAATAACTTATAAAAAATATAACTGTCGTGTGGCAAATCGGGTTAATGTTGAAATTCTAAAAATCTCAGAAATCTAAGACGTATGTTTTGCATTTGTGACTTTCAATAGTATTAATCAAATTATATTTTTGTCAACCACGACAAATTACTTACATTTGTAAATATACCGGCGACTTAAGATTTCTGAGAACCTACGAATTCCAGAATCAAAATATACAATCAACAGGCCTCGATAATAAAAAATACTGTTGCAATTATGCCGGCATCACATAGAAGTTTCGTTTTATAATTACTATAAATATAGCAGATTTATAAAAAAATTCTTCTAAGAGATGTTCTGTTCTGGCAATCTATAAAAATGATTGCTTTTCTATGCAAATAGCTTAAAAAAATGCCTAATTCAGTATTTATATCACAAAACAATATAGCAAAAAGGATAGGTCCTGATAAAAATAATTTAAAAAATCTGTAGTCTGACCTATTTTCAATATTTGGTTTAATATTTAAATATATTATCTTTTTCCTAATGTTTGGAAATAATCGTAAAGACTATATTTCTCCTGGCTTAACGCCAATTATAAACTGGTCAAACAGCGACTTTCTCTGCTTAATATAGGCATATCTATTTTTCAAATAATGTAAATTATTATAACCAAATTTTATAGTTTTTAAAAATGTATAACTTTGGTGTGTGTAAGAGATAGTTGGATTAAGGATTTTTGCGTATACGCAGGTGAAGCTGGACACGAAATAATAGTATAATGTTAATGTATAGTAGATATTCAAGTGTGTATAATTGTCTCAATCTCTAGCAAATAAGCAATTAGTAAGTATAAAAGCAGATGATTATTTTTCTAATCTCCTAAATAAGCAGTATATGTGAACTTTTCTTTTTTTTATAATAAAACTTCAATATCATGCATACTATAGCCAAGCAAGTACCTGAATCCAAAATTATTCACAAAACTTCCAAAACCAAGCACGCGAAGATAACAAAAGGAAAATCCTTTTTTTTAACCTTTATATATTTAAGCATTATTTTTTATTTTCTAATTAGCAAAATGGAAACTTTGTGAATAATAAAAACAAATAAGCCACTCAATTTTGCCCTTCGACACTACTGAAGCCCCCATTTTTACCTGGACGCGCCCGCCGATTGTCGCTCTACAATGTTACTACTCTATCCAATCAAATAAATGTTGCCAGTAACACATCAATCGAAATAAATACTGTAACCCAATTCAGTTTTAACATTAGTATGTTAGACGTAGTATGTTGCTATCCCTTTGCTAAAAATATGTAATCAAAATATTCCTTCTTACATAACATATTTCCAAATGTGATCGACTAATTTAAAATATTTTTTAATTTAACACACTTAAATTCTGAAATTATTTTTGGCTAAGGGTATGCAATCTATAACCGAGAGGTGAGAATGTAAAACGTAAGACGAAACGGTAGCGCATTTCGTATGATTGTGATTAGTCAATAGCAACTAGTCTAATCTAGTTTACGTTAGTTTGACCAATCACAAAGCGATACATCTTACTTTTCACGTTCTCTTGGATAATTTTATTTGTTAAAATTTGCTACCTGTACAGGATAGAGTAGTGTAATTGAAATAAATAGATGTTAGTATTAAAATGTGTGGAAAGACAAATCATAGATGAAAGTGTAAAAAAATTAAAGCCGGTAGCGATAGAGTTCCAATACGAATTATAAACAAAATTAATTTATAGCCTAATCCCAAAGCGTTTAATTGAAGTTATCTATGGCCACCCGAAACGTGTCAATGTTAAACCCGTTTAGCTTCGATCATATATGCTAAATGCAATGCTAAAATTACCTACATTTTGTCAAGTTAATTTATTGGCAAAAACCTTATATGTATAATCTGATTTTTAATTCCGTTGAATTCTGACAGTCTCAGTCAGACTATCATTTTTTGACATGTCAGAGATTACAAACCTTTTTGGCCGGGCACATTTTTAAATTTCAATACGAGTCTGAACATTAGACTCTATACATAAATTTTATTTGTTAGTGAATGTAACCATTTTAAGTGCGGTGTTCAACATTAAAAGTGGTTTTACGGAGACTGATAATTACGTCCCTTTTCATCACAAGCAGTAAAAAACGCACAAGTAAAGATAACATTTTATTTTTTTAAGAAGGCTTACTGAACCTGGAGTTCATAGGCAGTGATGCCAGTTAAATTATAAAATAGTGTAATTAAAGTTAATTCGATATATTGTTCGTGCTATTGAAATATTTTTTATTTTTGTATTAGGTCACTTGAGTAAGTAAGTTTTAAGATTTACTTTTTTGTAGGTAAAACAGAAGAATACGTAGCATTTAATTTGATTGCCCTCAAAAGGGTTTAATTTGTTTTATATTCGCTGAAGAACTTTTTTTGTAGCAACATTTATGAAATGTCAGAATTCTACAGAATGAAAAATCAGAGTATAGTAAGTTTACTTTTAAGGGAGTTGATGTTTCAAACCTACACGGTACGGTATAACCCGTCGACTGGCGAAATTATTCTGTTTTATTACCAAAGACTGTATCCCCAAACTTATTACTAATTAATACAATTAAAAAGTTAATGAACATATAATTAGATCGTACGATTGAAACTTAGGAATCTCGTATACATATTGTACGTTTCGGGTATGCGATAGTATGCCATGTGAAATTTCTCATTTGCCAAGTCATTGCTCAATTATATCAAAATATTTTACGATGTGTTTTTCTTTGTGGTTCATGTGAGATAAAGTGATATTATTTATAAAACATTATTGAACACTCACCACCGTTAGTGTGATATGTTTGTTCTGAAATTAATTATTATTTGTATTTAGCATTACTAGTATATTTATTTGTATGAAAGTGTTATTCCTAATACGTATTAAATATTTTTATACGGTATACCGTGTGCGTCATTTAAATTCTTAATGGTTTGTCTTTCGCACTAATAAATTACACCCTATAGATTATTATGCAATTATTTAGAAAAAATCAAGGGTATTATTGTGTGTCTGTGTTTGAAATATTATAAAGACTTAACTAAGAGAAACATAGAAAAAGGTTATGCCTTTCTCATATTACAATAGAACATTATCGTAATTATAAAACTCCAAATATGGTTCTCTTTAAACTTTTCGGGATTGAATTCGTTTAGTAATCACGATATTTGAATAATTTATTTTAAATTTAATAATTGTAAAACTGTTTTTTTTAGTATTAATGCATGCATGGTCAGGAATTGACTGACGCGTAATGGTCAGTGCAGTGACCAAATTAGTAATGATAGCGCCACTTTCAGAAAGCCGATACAGTTTTATTATTTTAAATTCAAAATAAATGATTTTAAAATTCACAGTTACATTTTTTTTCCGATTGTACTTTCAAAACTAGGACATATTCCTAGACTCCCTTCCAACAATTGTCTTTTATTTTTACAAATGTATAATTATTGTGTGTATATTTTTGTTATAGTTATCATACCGTTATAAGATGGAACGTGGTGATGATCAAGCTCGCAGTCATGGTGCTTCGCTCTGTCCAAAGTGCGAGAGGGCGAAGCGCCCACTGGCGACGAATAGCGGAGACGGGACATTGCCTCGCGGGCTGCTGATGGAGTCCTACAATTAAAATCAATTATTATAAGGTGTTCATTACACAATATAAATATTATCAGAAAAAGTATATAGATTATATTTTTCATAGCCAAAAAACTAGGTATTAGCCTCAGATGTCTGTTTTGTGATAATTTTTGTTTTAATAGGCAAGAATAATTAACCTTGCGCTTGACACGTCGATATTTGGTTCTAAGGCTTTCCGGGTTTCCTCACAATGTTTTTCTTTATCGTAGCGTTAATTGCGCAAATAGAAAACAGTTCATGGTGCACAGCCGTGATTCGAACGCACGACCTCAGAGTTGAGCACAGCACACTCTCACCAACGCACAGTTTTCATAGCAAATGACCAAAAATACAAGAAACATATTTCAGTTTAAGTATCACAAGACATATATACAAGTGCAACTAAACCACAAAATACATTGAGTACAATCGAAATACATGTAAAGCGCGCCCTTGGTTGACTGAATCAATTATATCTATTATTTTAATTTTTTTTTTAAATAACATGTTTACCGTGTTTACAATCCATTTTTCCATGTTTTCAATCCATTTTTTCCAACGCTTTAAAGTTAAGTTTGATAGTCCTACAAGTTATCCACTTATAATAGAAAAAAATAATTAGTTTTACAAACCTGCTAGCATTTCTAGGATCTAAGTTAGCCTTCTTCCACTGTTGAAGCTTCTCACGCTCCTTTACTTCTTTTAGGAACACCTGAAATATATACCAAACATTTTTGCATCACATCTTTGTTCCTAAATCTGATTAAGTATTATTTTACGAGCAAAATCATAACGTATACGTACGCCACGTAACGTATAACGTACACGTAAAAAGTGAAAGAGAATACTTTTGCTTTGAGTTCACAAGAACTTACCTCGAAGCAATAAGTTAAGCCTATCGCAATTTTTTAAATTTCTCGATAGAACAGACATTGATGTTTGAGTTTAAAATCCCTAATCAAGAAAATTTAAAATTACCATAAATTTTGCAAATAAATTGAATTGAATACTTTATGCCCTACTATCAATTGTTTATGCAACGCATCCGAAGCGACGTTGAGACACTTTAGTAAAAGGCGTAAATTTTTTTGAAAAAGTAATATTATTTTTTGATAGAATAATAAGAATATGACTGCAAGTATTTTAAAGAACATAACTTTTACAAGTTTAAATATCCCAATTAGTCCGAACAGTTATATTTACAGAATGAGGAATACAATTGTAAATAACCAAATATAAATCGTGTAAACGTTACCTGTGCTATACCAGAGTCAATCTTAGACAATTCCTGTTCTTCTTTACGTAGTTTAATATCGTGTCCGTTTCCGTTTACTTTCGCGGCATCTGCTTCGTCGTCACTTTCAGGCACGCCTTTGTATGTGTCCGACCAACGGCGGCGACGTTCTAAAAATTACATACAACATGGCGTTTTATTTAAGACCATATCTAAGTTATAGACAATAATCGTGCAACGTAGCACGTTTAGTTTATTTTTAAAATTTAAATTAAATCACGCATTTTGGCAGTTAATATACAAATTATATTTTTTATTAATTATTTTAATTGAAAAATCATACCAGGATCGGTGTAAGGATAAGGCGGCGCCGGGAAATCGTCCCGTTCTATCTTGGGTTTGGTTCCCGGCGGGGGCTTATACGCTGACGGGTAGTGGGACAATTCTATTGGTTCCTGAAATTTAAAATCCTGAGAATTATTAATACGGAAAACTTAGATCAGTTATAACAGCGCCTTTGAAAAGAGAGGATAAAAGTTTTAGAATTTTCTTAACGTGCTTTTTCAAAACAATGATTTATTCGTTTATCTAATTTTGATAGATACTTTTTTGGTAAAAACTGTTTACTATCAAAACTTTTAGTGTTGCATTTTAGTTTCAGTGGAAAATCATATCGTTTCAAAAATAAATATTTTGTTGATTTCCAAATAAAAATCACCGTGGGCCGTTTAAACCCAATATAAAAGAAAATACCTCGTTATTCATATGCGGTGATTTCGGCCTTGGTGTCTCAGCCCTCATGGAGTCCACAAGCACCCTCATACCAGGACGAGAGGATGCTTTACTATTCGGACGAGAGCTGGTTCGGTTACTGGCGCTTGCTAGAATTTATACATATAATTATAGTTTGTTAAATTTTTTAAATTGTAAATAATTTACGCGCTTTTCTGTCCACAGATAAATACAACAAATTGATAGAACAAATATTCCAATGGCTTATATTGATATTTAAAAGGTGTTACACCGATATACTAACTGAGGTTTGTTAGTTTATTTTAATGTATACAAGTAATAACCATTTGTATTTAGCGTCGTAGCAAAAACACATAAAAATTACAAATCAGAATGGATATTTTTTTATTAAATTTCCAGACATACATGGTGGCCTATGAAAGTGAGGAGAGGCTGGCGGCCTATCCGCAACTGTAACGGGCCGTCGCAGCCTCGCAGGTTCGCCAGTAAGATAGGAGAACGCGGTGATGCGGTGCGGAGAGGTTTCAGAAGAGCAACGACATGAACGGTATTCCCGAAGGGCCAGCCCTGGGGAGACTGTACGGTACCCGCTTCCATACTAAAATGACATATTACTATCAATTTGAGATATATTCATTACAATTGAGTTATATGATTAATTTTAATAATAAGATGTATGAGAAGAGTAAAGTAATAGAAGAAATTTTGGTAAAAAATAAATATTCCGGTCTGAAGGACCAGAAGTAGAATGCAGATTTAAAAAAAATACAAATATGTGTAACATTAAATCAGTTCAATCAGTCACAAACATAAATGTATTATATTTAAAGATACATAAAATTATATAAACAGAATATATAAGGTGTATGTATATAAATTATACAAACCTTTAGATTTACTACTATCAATAAAAATCTTTAAAAAAATTCACATTACACATTCACATGCATAAAATGATAAGAGGGGATTTTATTAAAATTTAAAAAATTGTGGAAAGGAAAAAGGTAAATGTTAACTTAAAATAAATAAAGCCTCTAAACAAATCACATTTTTTAAAAGAAATATTAAATTAATATTTTTAGATAGTTGGAGTTAAAAGTCAGAATTAAAAAAGACAAACATATTTAACATTATTTTAAACAGGTCTAAATTGGTTAAAGGCTTTGCAAAATAAAATAAAAATCGGACCTTCCTATTGAGACTACTGTAGGGGCTGCAGTATGATCCGTTGACGCTCGGCGTGCGTGACCGCATCGAGAACTGAACACGACAAGCTATGGTTGTCTCACTCGCTCTCACGTCAAAGACGCCATGTTGCCAGACAGACAACATAACGTCTAATGAGTCGAAATAGCAGACTTCATATAGGGATTAATTAGCTCAAAACATTGAAGTATTCTGCTATTTCGACAGTGAAAACAAAATGAGCTAAAAAAAGATTTAAAACATGATATAAACAAGCTGACAAATAAAATATAATTTGAAAATAATGTTCCTTTGTACAAACGCATAATCGAAGCATACGCAAATGAATTTAAAATGCGATAACAACATGCTTTCACTGAATACTCAAACATAAACAAACTAATATACTGAACAAATCTACATGTCAAGACGGTAACAATAAAAATGTATATGTACAGGCAAATTAAAAACCGCTAATTCATTGTTATAAGTTAACAATGTTTGAGAACAATATTTTAATTTTTTCATTTGCATTTCTTTAAAATTAAATCCTCATTTTTTATGGAAAATATGACAATTATTTCAACTTTAGTACCTCTACCATGAATTTAAGTATAAATCGTTAACGTCTGCGTAAAATTTGTATGAAAAGTCTTAGCTTTGCCAATCTCCGCCAGAGGCACTGTAAACATTTAAAATAAGCCGCTTTGGCTGAAAGTTTTTATGTAGATATTGGTATATACCAAGGCAATCGTGTTCTACCTGTAATTCTGAAGAGGCGCGATCCAAAGCCAATGGATCGAGTGGAGTAAGAGGGGCGTGAGGCGCGGGGCCACAACGCGGGTGCCATATAGCTGCACCCTGAAGGAACATCTCTTCGCCATCGCCAAACGGATCACCGCATTTGCTGCAACGCGCGCACGTAGGATGGAAATGGTGATTCTCACCGGCCTGGAATACATAATATTACATTTTTATATATTCTGTTTACACAAATATACTAATAAAAAATATATTTATAATTTAATTTAATTTAATCATTTACATGTATCTTCAACCAAAACAAATTCATCAAACCAAACCAAAGACAATATTCCCAGCAGTTTAAATAAATAAACAAAACTATGACAAAACCAAAATTACTTGTGAATCTTGTGAAACAACTGTTTAAACATTATGTAGCTGATTACAATATTAAATGATCCATATACAACTTCAACAGTCTTTGACAACATATTTAAGTCGTAATTGTCTTACAATGACCTAAAGCTCTTTGTTTTCGTTCCAATGACTGGATTGATTAAATTAGTTTCGGTTCGAATAGATTTGTTACTTTCGAGACAATTGTTTTGTAAGTGAAATTCCGTGTCACCGATGGCACCAAATATATATATACCTCTATTTAATATGAACCGTTTGTTTATATGTTGTCTTTGAATTTTTGTATTTTTGTTGTTCGTGGTTTTCTACGTTAATTTAATAGTTTATCTCTTCCTTCCAATCACATATTAAATTCTAAATTTTGTTTTAATTGTTTCTTCAGAGCCTATACCACCGTGGCCTTTATTAGTTTTCAATTGTTCAGCGTAAAATGCCGTGTTAAAACGTTTTACATTGAATCCGATTTATTATAGAAACAATATTAATCGTAAAAAGCAGAGTTAAGAAGAACTTAAGGTAACGTCATGTGTCGTATGACGTATGACGTTGCCTTAAGAAGCGTACGTAACAAGCCAAAGAAAAATGCGTTTCGGTATTGATCCCAGGAACTTTCATTATTCGCCATATGCGCTAAATATTCCGCATTTACATAAAAGAAACAACAAGTATATTACCTGTAAAACCTTTCCAGAAATGAACCTCTGGCAGTAGGCACACCTAACTCCATACAGCCTTTGATAGTCTCGCTCACAGTACGGCACTCCATTTCTCCCCATATATTCCCCTTGAAGAACAGTCCCACATTCGCCACAGGCGAAACACCACGTGTGCCATTGTCTGTCTAGGGCTACGAGTGCTTGACCCTCGGACAGCTCTTGACCGCAACCAGCACATTCTGGAAATTGGATTTAGCTAGTCTACACATTTAATGAAACATATAAAAATTGACTTATCGATCCACAATAACTCATTTTTAGATTTATATATGATTTTCAGATTTTTCGTGAGTAACCATAAAAGTTGGGCCTTCATGCTAGACGATTAAACACACCAAACATCTACGGTCGAGTAGTTTTATTAAAATAAATATTTAAACACGCATTATAACTTGAAGCCAAACTTCCTGAATATCACTGACATAATGCCATATCATTAAATCAACAAAAAGTGCAAAAACATCAAGGTCTGTGTCGATGACGTTATTGTTTAAATTTGAGTCATTTCCATTATTATGTACGAATTCTGGTTTACGTAATTCTTAAACTATTTTAAGTGCCAGTGTTAGTAGAGCTTTGTCTGAATAGAAATAAGAATAAATTGGCAATGAATTATTTCATATAAAATCTAATTTAGTTGAACTATTTAGGGAAAAATTATAATAGAAAAATAAAACTTATTTAGAATTCATAATATATGCAAAGGTTACATTCTAAAAGATCATAACTTATAGTGCTATCACATTAAGAATCAAACACATGTTATGAAATTTGAATGCAATATAGAGTTAATTTCTTGTTTATTCTGTTTACCATAAACACCTTCCGTTTAACCCGTTGACTTACCATTTGGATCCGGCTGTCTCTGATCGATCTGGTCACGATCTGAGACAGGTGACACTGGTGAGGCAGGCGTGATTGGTGCAGGGGAAGTGGGTGAAGCCGTAGGCGACCTCGCTGCCCGCGCTGTATGCTTTTGTGGCGCAGCTGTACAGGTCGCACAGATTACTTCTGTGCCCGTATATGTGACCTTCTCGCCTGATGGGAATGCGCGTCTGAAATACACAATTTGGGTTACATTAAAACTTATAAATTGATATTGTGAGAATCCTCTCGAGGTCTCGATGGTGAATATGTTATTTTGTTCTTATTATTTCAGTGTTTTTCTTTATTTTCCAGTTACTTGATTTTTACTTTGTAGAAATGTTTTGGCATTAATTATTGTCTTTCTCGTCGCAATTACCCCTTAATTTTTTTATTTATAAAAACTAAAACCACAGGAAATTTGTCATGTATCGTATCCACAATGTAATGTAACGTTAAAGTTTGCAATTTTACGAAATATCTTTACTAATCTGGAAGGATTTGTACTAGTCTACGCTTAGATAATGAAATATAATTTAGTATACGTACTTGCATCTTGCGCATGTAAAGCACTTCTGGTGGTAAGTGTTGCCGAGTGCGGAAACCACCTCACCCTCAACATACTGATTGCAGGCCGCACAACGTGTGCCAAATGCACGCTGGTAATCCTGCATACAATAAACATATTACAAATTATTTTTTATTTGATTTGTATAGCTATCATGACAAGACATTGAGCAACTATTGAAACGGCTGTTGCAAAACGACGACACCGAAATTTACACTCGTTAACACGGGTTCCATAATTCACATTTTTAACACCTGCTTATTAATATTTCATGGCCTGGTTTGAAATCCTCACCTGTGGGCAGTAGTAATATCCATCCTTGCAGAAGAAACCACCTCGAGCCAGCGAAGCAGAACATGTACGGCAGGTGAAGCAGGCCATGTGGAAGTACTTGTCGGAAACGCGCAGCACCTCGCCACTGCACTTGCCTCCACAGGCGCCGCACATAACTTTCCCTACAACAGATTAATTTATTAAGTATAAGTTATAATAGATGATTTCAAAGTATTTTACAATTGTATCTAGATTAAAGGTACATAAAAACTAAAATTATGTATTTTGTAAGTTTAATCTGCACAAATATGAATTGAAGACTAGAATCAGTTTATTGAAGACATATATTTCGTTATAAAAAGGTTTAGGTTTTTTTGTTTTTTTATTGTATAATACATTTTGTAAAAGCTATATAAAGCGTGCACCCTGACTCATTTATTTGAGATTTAATTGTTACTAACCTAACCTATAGATTTTAAAATGAAGACCTACACGTTCTAATCTTTTGTGTTTCCTAATAGTATTATATTATGTTTAATGTTTAATTTTTATATTACGACGTAACAAGTTTACTATTGTATTATTTACCTAAAATTTATAAGTCAAAATAATTTCTTAATTTTAAATTATTTTAACAATGTTAAAGTTATATTCGTTAGGAAAAAATTTTTTCGAAGGCAAAGGTCAAAAAATGAGTTTTTGGATTTTCAGCAAAACGTAAGTTTTTATAAAAGTATCAAGCCAAATTGTAATCATACAATTATCTATAAAAATGTATCAATACTTTTTTTTAACGTTTTAGATATAACGATTCAAAAAGTTATAAAAGTTGTTATCTATAATATACACACTTTCCACGCCACCTATAGTAGTGTACTTAGCGTTTTATCAAAGCTCAGAAAACTTGTAATTTAAATCTTATCTTCTGATATTTTATTTGATGAATTATGAATCCAACAGTAAAGAAATTTTTAAAATACCCACAAGTTGGTTATTTCAATTTGAAAGAAAAGTTTGCGGCTGAAAATATATTGGTAAAAATATAATAATATGATGTATTGATTATTATTGAAAAATAGAGAATTAATTTGAAAATAAATATTGTTGTTGGTGAAGATGTTACTTATTTATTATCTTTTTTGGCTACTTTACTACTTATTTTTGGTTGATATTTTTATGATAAAATTACCGTTTTTGAAAATGAAAAATATTGTTTTTAAGAATGATGGGGAATTCTAGACATTGTTTATAATTTGTTTTAAAATTTATAAAGTTTTGGGATTTATGTAATTCATCTATTTTTGGTCTAAATTGACGGGCTTAATAAGTTACTGTAAAAATAGGAAATAAAATATTTAGTTATTTTTAGAGTTATTCTGGAATCAATTTGGTAGATTTAATTATGCGATGAAAACTGAAGAAGAAATTTTTTAGGCTAAAAATATTAAAGTGATATTTATGTTTAAGTTAAAACTAGGTGTTGTTGTTACCTACGGATTTGTACTAAAATAAATTCAGTTCTACTTTAACCCCCAACAAAATATTTCACTTATATATAAGGGTTTTAATTATATGAACTGTGTTCATTGCATACAATAAAATATACTGTAAATTCTATTTCATGCCTGTTGAATACTCAAAAGTACAGTTACTATACATCTCAAATAGGAACTATGAAGTTCATAATGATTGTAATTTGTAGCGATAAAGCGAAGTAACGTAGTTCGTGACTCTCATAGATTGACCGCGGACCTTTTGTGCATCTTATACCTCACGAATATTCTATAAAACATCTTTACATGGGTGATTTCCCTATTGATTACATCCAGATAATAAAATGATAAATAAAAATAACTTTTACAACTTTAAAACTATATGTATTTCTAAAATTATGATAGTAAAGCGTTGCAGACCTGTAAAAGTAAATTTGAATATCACATTTATTATATACACATTCACATAGATTGAAAATATTCTACTTCTCTATATGAATCATAATATAGTTATTCTTGTTAACATTTCACCAATTGACCTTTATCTAAAACCCGCATTTCTTAACTCATTCAAATCATCCTTAATCTTAACACTGATTTAACTTATTAAAATATTGTCTTTGAGTAACTAGAATTTATTAATGTAATGTTTATATTGCATTTTTTTTTGTTTAGTTAGTAGTAACCGTTATATAATAAAAACCAACTACATATATGTATATTTACAAACCAGTTACTGAATACTTATTTAGTTTTTCCGGATAATACGGATTAAGTATGTTACCTAAATACCTTACCATATAAGTGGCAGTCAGAAACTATAATATTTTTACCAGAAATACATTCAAAACCGTTTACGACCATCGTTTAGAACAACATACCGATTATATTGACCAAAATCAAAGGTCCCGGTTGAATTCTATTGTATTAGGTACTTAATAACAACGTCATCGGCTGTTACGACTATCTGTTTTTACGACCAAATATGAGGACAAATAAGGGACTACCCGTTATAACTGATTTTGACTGTATATTTATTTTCCTAAGCAGTAGATCACACATAGGTCAAACCGATGTAATTAGCTCCGTTTTTTTACAGGATAATACCCGTGGCGTGGTCTGGGTCTGGTTTGGGTTTCCGTATTTGTTTCGTAATCATTTGTTTTTTTTTATAATAGGCAAGTAGATGACTTAGGTCTTGACAAACGACGTCGACTTTTTGGGTCAAAGGTATGCCGGTTTAGTCACGATGTTTTCCTTTACCGCACTAGCGAGTGTTAAATGCGCACATAGACAGAAAATCAATGCGCGTGCGACCTCAAGGATGAGAGCTGTATACTGCTGCTGGTTTTAACAGGAACAGAAAAAAATATTATTTTATTTCTGATCATCTATTTGTTTACGAAATGCAAGACTACACTAAATATCCTGCCCTAAATAAAACATATGTAGTACAAACATTACTTTTACGTTTCGTAATCCCGCATGCGGTCAATTCGATTACACGCAGCGCAGCGCGTGCGCATCGAAACATTTGCTTTCAATTAATTCGTTAAGACACGTAAACCACAGGGTAGCCTTCGTGCTCAGCTGTGCGCTCTTCCGTGTTTAACGCTGAATTATACATTTCATACTATGAATACATATGACATACCTCCAAGCTAGACCATTTAGGCTTCTACATGGCACACACGCTTTTTTAAAATGCATTTTTAGAATGCTCGACTAATCGTGTCTTAACTGTGATTGGTCTAGAGACGTTGTTATGGTCATCAGCATCGTTTCGGTCTCTTTGGTAGGACATAGCGACGCTGTTCGATTTTTAGCATATGACATACTTTTAGGCTGGACCATTTAGGCATCCACGAGGCACACACCCCCTTATTAAATAAATGATAAAATCGACATGTCCGTTAGAATGCACTTTTAAAACTCGACTTTTTCGATTTTTTTTTGATTAATTAATTGTGTGCCTTATAAGTTATAGGTAATATGCTCCCGCCTCCCACACAAAGAAATGTCATTTCTAGTTATCACTAGTTAATCTTAAGCATAATATTATTATTGTAATTAAGTCGACGTTGAAGACAGAAAAATTATAACCAATATGCCATATAAATTTCTGTTGTTTCTTTAAATAAAATTTACCAAGATGTCTTCTTAGCGTGCTGTCATATTCAATTTAGGTAGAAGCCAATGATTAACTCACACAATAGTTTAATGGAAGAGAGTGTTCACTGTTTATAAACAATTTTATTCAATAAACCCGAACCACTTAAGCCGGTTAATTTAACATAAACCAACAATCATACATCATATAAGTAATAAATTATAGGCAGATCGCACATTAAAAACCCACTTGACCATATTTGTAATTGATCAATATAATAGGCGATAAAAAGCAGTTACCCAAAAACGGAGGTAGCGCTTTTTGTGGTTAATCCGGTTTCTATAATGATACGGTACCCGTCTCACTGTCTAAAACGTCTGAGCTTGATCGTTTATAGTTCCTTAGTTAAATAAAATATCTTCAATTTACGTCCCAATATGTTACTATATTATCTTGTATTGTTTTGCCTCACATCCTTTCATCTATTTCTGGACTATTTATGAGTAATACTGTCAAAACTATATTCTTTAAATCTCATCTCATAACTCTTTCTTGGCGAATTCTTTATGGTCTCTGCTTAGCTCTTTTAAATCCACTGCCCAAGAATTACCTGTCCACATCGTATCCCTAACTTTCATACCAACTGATCTAACTGAAATTATCGTGATGCACGGATCCTTTTTTTATTGTCACTTTCACTGCCAACATATGTTTTAATTGCTTTCTTTCTTTTTTCCTAAATAATTGTAAATCATTTGAAGTTTTGCACTTCTTGCGCTCACTTTATGTAATTTTTATTATTCACAGTTTCTCAAGAGTTTACTCGAAAGCGATAAGGCCGCCAGTTTTCTTTACATTTTATTATTTTAATTGTATTGTATTTCTGTATTACTGCGCCGAGTTGTAATAAATAAATAAATAATATTGGACACAATTTGGCTTGCGAAGGCAGAGCTTTAAATGGAGTTGTATGGTTTGCATCATAAGACAGCTGAGTTTTTCAACAGAACTCCTTTTTACACCGTTTTTACGTTGACTGTCTTACAGACAGCCGGTAACAGCGGCCAATGTAGTGGTGTATATTACCGAAGCAAATTAAGTGAAAACAAGCTTAATGCTATTACGGAACCATAAAACGCTATGAGAATAAATATTTTTCTATGAATCATCTGTAGTCTATAGTACAATACTAGTACGCATCATACTTTTTGTCTGATAATTTCCACCATTGTTATTTAATAGGAGATATAAGATCTAATTTCGATAAACGCAATGAATTTTCTTGTAACGCCGTTTTTATAAGTTGATCCGAACATGCAATTTTTAGATTTGATTTTTTTATAGAACAAACGGGCAGGAGTACCGCCCGCTTATGGACACTCTTAATGCCAGATAACTCGCGAGTGCGTTACCGGTCTTTTAAGAATTGGTTTGGCTTTTCTTGAATACTGTAGTGGATATCTAGTTCCACAGGTGGTCTTTAGTAACTTGTTAACCTAACTGAAGCGATTGCTTAGCGTGATGAGAGGTCTCTTAATAGAATTGTGATCTAGAAAAACTTTCTCGTTCTT